TCAGCACATTAAATGGTGCTGAAATTTAATGTTTCCTTTCTTGAAAACTCTTATTTCTCCCTGGTGTACTGCAAGTTTACAGAAATGATGGGTCTTTTCTCCTTTATTATGTTGGTGCTCGATAGGACTTTTCAATTTGGAGACTTATGTGCTTCAGAAAAATGTTTCTGTGATTGTGCTTTTTACATTCTTCTCTTTCTGAATCTTATTGGTAAGATGTTGGAATTCCTGCATTGGCCCTCTAGTCTCATCTCTTCTACTTCTTAAAAAAAATATTATGAGACGTTTTCTTAGTTGTATTTCCCAAATTTTACACACACACACACACACACACTTCAGCTATCATATTAAATTTCTAAACACCCTCACTTTTTTCTAATAATAATCTCTGCTTATTCCTTTTTCTTAATAGCATCTTAACCTTATTTTAAGGGTAGGTAATTCATCTTATTTCTCTGAGGTCATTGGGTAAAGTTTGATTACAGTTTTCTTTTTTCTGGTGGTGGTGGTGGTGGTGGTGGTGGTGGTGTGTGTGTGTGTGTGTGTCCTTTCTTCTGCGTTGGTTGATGTTTGTATCTCTTATGTTAAAGGCTTTCCTTACATGTCCCATTGTCCTAGGCTGTCTGTTCATATTTTCACAGTTAGGTTTTAAAATGCTGATAGAAGTTGGGAATGGTGGCACATGCCTGTCATCCCAGCAACTCAGGAGGCTGAGGCAGCCTCAGCAATTTAGTGAGGCCCTAAGCAATTTAGCAAACCCTGTCTCAAAATAAAAATAAAAAGGACTGGGGATGTGGCTCAGTTTAGCAAACCCTGTCTCAAAATAAAAATAAAAAGGGCTGGGGATGTGGCTCAGTGGTAAAATGCTCCTGGATTCAATCTCCCTGGTACCAAAACAAACAAACAAACAAAATTGCTGATAGAATTTCTATGCACTTGGCTTGTCCACTCTAAGGTACACTGCAGAATATTTGGGTAAGGAATTGTTATTTATTTATTTTTTAGCTTTTAGGTGGACACGATATCTTTATTTTACACTTATGTGGTGCTGAAGATCAAACCCAGTGCCTTGTGCATGCTAGGAGGAATTGGTTTTTTAATTCAGAAATTCCTAAACATTAGTAACTATAGGTCTTTTCTCTAGGAACATGAGGTACTTTTTTTGTATGCATTTCATAAAAGATTGGATAAGATTTAGACATATTATATCATAGCAATACAAACCACTTAAAATTTAATGTTATAGATACTTTGATTCCTAGGACTCTGCTATCTCTATAATAGCGGCTCTATCTCCTGGTCATATTAGTTTGCATTGTCATCTGTCTCCTTTTCTCTCCCCACTACTGTACTGTTTTTCACTTTTTTTAAAATGTTATTTGCTCTAGGCCTTGCTGGTGTTTTTTTTTTTTTTACTCTAATTTGTTGTATATGACAGCAGAATGCATTACAATTCATATTATACATACAGAGCACAATTTTTCATATCTCTGGTTGTATACATAGTATATTCACACCATTTGTGTCTTCATACATGTTTTTAGGATAATGATGTCCATCTCATTCCACCATCTTTTTTACCCCCTTGCAACTCTCTTCCCCTCCCTCCCCTTTGCCCTATCTAGAGTTCATCTAATCTTCCCACACTTCCCTCTAGGTTCATGCTGACTCATTTCCTCTTTTCACACCTACCTGATCTCTTCATCTGACTCCAACCAGTCCGTTTTTATATGCTGATGACTCTCAGGTCTTCACTTTTCATTCTGTTTTACCTCCAAAATTTCTAACTTTAGTTGCCTACTTGACATCTTCAGGTGGATGTTCAGTGGTAACTAACACTTTGTGTGACAATTATGGAACTGTTAATTCCTTTCTATTATCACACACCATAACTAGTGCTTACATACTTCTTTCTTTCCACTTGCTCAAGCCAAGAATCCTCTCTTTCACTTAACCCACACAAGCTATTTATCTACAAATACTCTTGAACCCGCCTTCAATCAGATCTTAAATGCATCCACTTCTCTGCATTTCCATGACTACTACCTTTTTTTGTTTTTATTTCTGGTACTGGGTATTGAACTCAGGGGCATTCGACTACTGAGCCACATCTCCAGCCCTAATTTGTATTTTATTTAGAGACACGGTCTCATTGAGTTGCTTAGTGTCTCACTTTTGCTGAGGCTGGCTTTGAACTTGTGATCCTCCTGCCTCAGCCTCCTGAGCCTCTGGGATGACAGGCATGTGTCACAGCACCCAGCTCCATGACTAGTACTTTAACAAAGATATCATGATATTTCTCCTGGTTATTGCAATTGCTTCTTACCCGGTATCTCTGCTTCTAGTCTTCTATGTAGCAACCCGAACAAATTTTAGAAGTGTAAGACATATCATGTCTTCATCAAATATTTGCAAAATTCTCTGTCACCCCATTCCCCATATCTCTATGGCTTGCAGGGCCGTCTGTGCTCTGGGTCTATTAAACCTTCATTGTGTTCCTCAAACACCAAGCTCATGTCCTCCTTATGCCTTTGAATCAGTTCTTCTTCTGGCTAGAAAAATCTTCTCTCATATCTTCACTTGTGGCCTTATTCTTTCCTATATTCTTGCTTCTTCTAAAATGTCACCTCCTCTGAGAGTCTTTCCCTGGGCTCCTGCAGAGTGCCTTCTCAGTCACTTTCTTTCCCAAAAGCCTAAGAGCACAAGGGTAGTGGGCTGGCTACTTGGCCTATTGCTTTAAATTTTTTCATGGTTATACTGGCCTCAAATAGATGACATAGCAACCTTCTTTAGTTCTACTCTTGGTTCCACCAGTTTGATCAGTTTATTGTCTCACGAGGCCAGAGATGATCAGTCATTGACACTATCACACTTGAGGGTGCTATGAGCCAAAGCCAAGCCTACGTTCTCCTGTGTCAGTTGTCAGACACTGGTCATTTGCATCCTGGAGTGGTTATATAAGCTTTGTTCATAGTCTTTGAGAACTCATATTTTGGTCATTCTCACCTGTGACCAATGAATATCCACCTTTTTGCCAAACCACATATTTGATTGTGTTCATGCTACAAATCTGTTTTGTTTATGTTGCACTAGCCCAGTTTACAAAATACTTATGGTTTGGTAGAAAGAGTTTAGTTTTAGAAACATGTCTTTTCTTGAATGTCTGTCATTCACATCTTTAGCAAGACCTTAACACGCTAAGCCTCAATTTTGTCAAGTACTTAGCTTTCCTAAAACAAAAAACTCTCCCCTCTTCTCCTCTCCTCTCCTTCCTCCTCTTCCTCCCCTCCTTTTCTTCCTCCTCTTTTTCTTCTCCTTCTTCCTCCTCCTCTCCTCCTCCTCCTCCTCTTCTTTTTCTTCTTCTTATTCTCTCTCTCTCTCTCTTTCTCCTCTCTTTCTCTCTCAGGGATAATACATATAAAAATCCTCTTTAGAAGAGTGATAGATTATATTAACTCATGAATATGATAATATTTTTGCAAAGTTTAAAATACATTATAAATAGAAGGGGTTAAATGTAAGGTTGTGGTCACACTGATAATGCCTGAAGTATATAGCCCTCAGTTATTATTGTCACTTTTAAAGTCTCTTTTATGTACCAAACTTGCAGAACAACTATCTTCTTATCTAGTATATGTTTGAATAATTATTTTAATTACTTATTTAAATAAAAGTATTGTATTCACTAAAACCAGTCCCAACAGTATGACATAAAAATTAAAAGTCTACCTTCATCACACAGCTAGAAACAAGCATTTGAACTTAGGCAGTGTGGCTCCACAGTCCATGCTCTTAGTCATGACAATAAAACATGCCTTAGCCACCTGTCCATGTGAGAATGGACAGAGCTCTGCCTAACTTTAGCACCTATACTACCTCCTATTTTATGTCTCTTAATGTATTTACCAGTTCCCTATGGAGGAGAATTTTTATATCTCCTAGGTTTTTCATTATTAAAATTAAATGGCAAAAAGTAAAAAATTAAACTGCATAGACAACATGGAGCTTTTTGTGTAACTTTCTAAAAGTGTATAGCTGTTGTATATGGACACCAAACTTTTTGAATGATACCACCAAATTGTCTTCTACCATGAATAATGATTTTCCTTGAAGTCTATTAACTACTAGAAGCAGGACCTGTGATTTCTATATGTCTCCATTTTATTTTGTGTTTTCTCTCTCTCTCTCTCTCTCTCTCTCTCTCTCTCTCTCTCTCTCTCTCTCTCTCTCTCTCTCTTTGATGGCTCTGCACTTTGGCAAGGAATTTTACCACATGGCAAAGACAGCATTTTGGGAACATTGCTCCTATTTCTATGAGGTACATCTCTGCACTTGAGCATGGGATAAGCTGGCATTTGGTAACTTCTCTGCGTATGCTACCTGGTACCCTGAGACTCTGGAAAAGTTTCTGTGAGGTTCTTCAACCTGAGATTCATTCTGGCAGATTTAATGGCTCTTAAACATTTACCCAGCCAGAACCTCTAAACCAAGGTTTCACTTTTTAGTACTGTAGGGATAGTGGGATGAGAGAACTGTGGTGAGTGAAACTCCAGGGAGATGTAATGCCACCCCTGCCTCATCCTGGCAAACTTCTTAAGAAATTGAATGTATCACTTGTTTCCAGTTTAAGGTCTCTTTTCTATCACTGTGTTTTTTGTTTTGTTTTGTTTTTAGCTCATTGGTACATTGATGAAAGGAAATCATCAAGGTTATTCAAACAACTACTGCCTCGTTCATGAAGTTTTGTTTTTTAAGGGACATATTGAATAAGATTATGGTGCCTGTGTCTGAGAAACTTGCAGTCTTCTCCAGCTTTTCTGGAAATGAAGGATGGAGAAAATGGCTTCAGCTTAAATAGAAGAGAATTAAAACAGTGAGGAAGGTCATAATTATATTACCTAAGTTTATAGATGAGAACAATAGAGCTAAGAGAAATGAAATGACTTGCCATAAATCTATTCTGATCACAAAATTCAACTCAAATCTGGCTCTATTTACAGGGCACTCTCTCTTGTGACAGTCAGCATTCTCCAAACCTGACAGATACAGGTTTCCAGTTCCTTTTACAGGGAATGTGGCATCTTTCCATATGCCTCAGGTATATAGAAATGCTGGATAAACTATTACAAAGCTATTTTGCAAAGGTATCCAGAAAAGATAGAGAATTGGGGAGAGTTGTGTGTGTCAGGGGTGGGGGCGGTGGTTGTGGAGACCAAGAGGTAGAGAAGAAAGGAGGAAGGAAGGGTGGTCTTCCCTAATAACAGATCTTTTTAGCCAGTGGAATTTGGGGCACAAATTTTCTACTTTCATACTTTCTCATAGTTTACTAATTTTATATTTAGAAGAAATAAAAGTAAATTAATTTTTTAAATATAAAATTGAACTTATTAAATTAATTACATCTCTTTGTTTCATCTTGAATAACTCTTTGCTGTGTGGAGTATCCAAAGGAAATCCTAAAACTAAGTTCCTGGGCTCCAACCAAGCCATCACATTAGGTACATTTACACAAAATATTCCTATTGAATTTACAATTTCAATCAGTGATTGCATCCAGCAGAGAGCTGGGCAGGTTATCTTCACTCAGTCTGGCATCTTGATCTCCAAAGGGGACAGGGGGCTGCTGTGAGATCCTGGCAGGGCTTTCAGACTATCAGCATTAGCTCTTTGGCTTGAAGTCCCTCACATATGCTTGGCCTTTCCGCTTTCAAGCAGAGTCTCCTTGCCTGCACCAGGCTGGGTATTGGCAGGTGGTCTACTGGCCCCAGAAGCTTTCTGCATGAATTACTGTGTATGGTTTCTGCACACTGAAACTTGGCATGCGTGGTGACCATGCACATGTGTGTGCGCGCACACACACACACGCACACATACACACACACACACACTCTTCTCCTGTCCCCTCTGCCCTATACTCTGTGTTCCATTAGAAGCCATCTAGAGTCTTAGGGTGAATGTTGGGTCAAACCCAGGCTTCTCTCAGAGAATCACCTACTTTCCATTACAAGTTACCATACTCCACCCCTTTTTTCAGATAAAGCTTCTGTTCTAGTACTTTTCCAATTTCTAGGCTTCTTTTATACATTTCTGGCTTCTTTGTCCAGTCCTGACTTCAAACAGCCACATGAATGAGTCAATCTTGTCATTCCATGGCCCTAGAATATTCTGTAGCTTCTATCACATTCAAGATAGTGTATGTACTCCCCAGATGGCAAGCAAGGTCCTTACCTACTCAGACCTCATCTTCTCCACACATTTCCTGTCTTCCTCTATTGCTCCACCACAAGGCGCAGGATGTGACCTGCTTTCTCATGTACCACATGATGGTCCCTCTGTGTTCTTCACTTTGTCCCCTGGCCAATAGTTTCTTATCCTTCCAAAATCAATTTGAGTGTAACCTCCATACAGTGTGAAAATGTATCTAGTTATATATTTGTGTACATATCTTTATCTTTTTTTAGAGAGAGAGGCAGAGAGAGAGACAGAGAGAATTTTAATATTTATTTTTTAGTTATAGGCGGACACAACATCTTTGTTTGTATGTGGTGCTGAGGATCGAACCCGGGCCGCACGCATGCCAGGTGAGCGTGCTACCGCTTGAGCCACATCCCCAGCCCCTATCTTTATGTTATACTTCAATAAAAGTTTTAATTAAAAAAGTTCCCTTTGTGAAGCATATTTTTCTGTGGTATTTAGGACAGAAATAGAGAGCATAGGTTTGACTCAAGTGAACTTTTGGTTTGGTGAATGCTCTTTTCACTCTGAGCATGGTGTCAGAGGACAAAATGAAAAAAAAAAAACTCCTTGAACTGAGTTTAGTGTTTGCTTTAAGAAATAAGATAATTATATAAGTAGGTGTTATTTGAGTATCTGAGAAGTTTGATTTCTCAGCTTAAATTCTGGCAAGCTCAAATAATTTTGGCATAAGTCAGAGTATAAATAAACAAATCAGAATTGGAATTTCACTCTTAGCTGGTTATCTTCATCCTTCAGCTTTTGAGGCTTCTGTCAACAATGGACATAAACTTACTGGCCTGTGCACATCAATCAAATCTTCCACAGACCTTGTTGGTTCACATTTCACCACTACAGTTTTAAATTGATCTTCCTCTTTGGTATAAGGATTATTATTAATTATCTAAATGAACATCTTTGAACCTTTTCCTCCAAATATTTAATGTTCTAGAAATATCAGACTATGAAACATTTTAAAAACAATACATTTTCTTCTCTTTAAACAGGGTGGAGGAACCTGGGAACCTGACCTTTGAATATCATCAGCCATATTGGCCACTGCCATGTAGAGCCTGCATCTTGGAACCAGTCTAGTCATCGCTGCAAGAACTCACCAGATTTCTCTCTCACGTTCCCTAATAAAGGGCTTTTAGTCTCTGCACAGATGGGAATTCTGCTTCCCCCCTTCTCATTTCACACTTCCTGTACTTTCTTTGCTAAGTATTCAACTTCCCAAAATAGAACACAGTTGTTTGAATCTGTGTGAAGGAATTTCATTGGAGAGTAGACAAGGTATCTGTAGCTCCCAATAATTACCACACCTGAGTTAATTTTCTTATTGGTTATAAAACAGATAAAGGATACAGAAGAGGGCTCAGAGGCCTCTCAAAGAACAGCATTGGGTTTTCTTTCATGAGAGGACCCATGATGGAGCAGGGCATTAATGCCAAAGTGTGAACAATGAGGAAGGAGAGGACAGGAACTTTTGTCTGGTCAGCCACCCACTGGTTTCCTTTATGAATCTCATATTCTCATGAGGTCTTCTTCTGATTGTATCTCCCCTTCCTCTCTACCTTATTTCATTGAGCTTCCATATTCCTTTCTGCCTAAATGAATTCTCTTCATCCTTCAAGGTCTAGTTCAAATCTAACCTCTGCTGGGAAGACTTCCTGGAACTCTTGACCTAGAAGTGATTTCCCTGTTGTGTGAGTACTTAGAGCTCCTAATGACTGTATTTTCTGAACAAAGGTAATTTACAGTAGTAATAGCTAATGAAATAACTGATATCAACTCTTTTTCATGACACAGGGTTCAGGGCCTTTCATTTGGTAATTACTCAACTCAGTATTTGTCCATTTACTTAAGTGCTTAATGGAACTTGAGGCCATGAAAACAGAATTTAAGAAACTTTTCTGACAGTTGGATATGCTGCTTTTATACTTCTGCAATGAAGTGGATAAGATTGATAAAAATCAGCATAACAGAAACAAATCTTGAGCTGGTATGTACTATATGCCAGGTGTTGTGGTAAATGATGTACATTCATTATCTCTCTTGATCTCAGCTTTTCACCTCAAAAGTATCAGAGAGAGAGGTTACAAAATGCTTGCAATAGGATCATATAAATAGATGAAAGTATCATAGCAAAGGGAATACAAATGAAGTAAGTCAGATAAAATCCTGGGTTCAGTCATTACTCAAAAATACATGCCGTTATTATCAGCTATTTCATTGCTGTGACCAAAAGACCTGATAAGAACAATTTTAGAGGAGGAAAAGTTATTTTAGAGCTCATGGTTTCAGTGGTCTCAATGCATAGATGATTGTTTCCATTGCTCTGGACCCCAGGTGAAGCAGAAAAGTGTGGTGGAGGAAAGTAGCTAAGGACATCTCACCAGGAAGCAGAGAGAGAGAGATACCCTTCACCACTGACAAACATATAAACCCCAAATGCACACCCCTAATGACCCACCTCCTCCTGCCATACCCTACTGGCCTACAGTTACCACCCAGCTAATCTCTATCCAGGGGAGTACTATACTGATTAGGTTAAGGATCTTATAATCCCAATCATTTCACCTCTAAACCTTCTTGTATTGTCTCACATATGAGCTTCTGGGGAATACTTCATACCCAAACCACAACACATGTGCTATATACTTTTACTTGGAGATGAGGTACAAATTTGGCTCTAAGCTTCCTAGTGTTTAGAGTAAAAATTGACACACCATCAATTAAAGCACACACATACTTTAAGACACCAACTGGCTCTTTAAATGTAGCACCATATATGTTGCATCAAACTCTTTCTTATTACAGTTCTTAGCATAGGCCAATGCCATCTTGATGAAGAGCAGAATGGCAAAGTCCTTTCTAAAGGAGGTGGTAAACTATTGGGTCTAGGTATGCAGGTGAAATTGGTTTAACATACACAAGAGTCAGAAGAACTGTGCACATTTCAGGAAATTCTCTATGGATGTTGTTTTTTACAACCACAAGTCCCTGCTATCTGTCCCAGATAATTATTCTCTTACCTTCAACTAAAAGCTACATGGGTCATAGTACAGCACCTATTAACACCTATAGAACTAACATGCTCAGGAATAGCCTTTGGAAAACTCAGTTCTATAGGCAAATTGGAGCTTCAAGCATTGATTTTTCCAGTGGGGAAAATGAAATTCAAATTCCTTTGCATGATTTATAATGCTTTTGACAACCCAACCTCAACCTGCTTTTCCAGATCTAATTTATTGTCCCCTTTTCAGCATCTTCATGCTTCATTCCCACCAGTCTGTAGAGAGCCATGCACGTACTCAGTGCTTTCACTCACCGAGACCTCATAGATGCCTCCTAGAATTCCCCCTCCTCTCCCACTTCTTTCCTGGCTTCTCTGCCTAGAGGATCTCAAAGGATGTCACCTTTCCTGTGAACCCTGCCCGATTCCATTGAACAATCAATCTTACTCATTACTGGATTCCCAAAGAAACTTGCTTATATCATATTTTATTATCCTCTTTTGTGTGCTTCTCTGATTTTTCTGCCAAACTGTGAGTTCCTCCAGGGTAGAATGTGTCTTATTTATCTTAGTAACCTAGCACTGGGAACATAGTCTGACCTGAATTTATTTCACCTAATATTTATTGAGTGCTTCCTGTACTGACAAAGCAAGTTGGGACAATTCCCATCCTCTGATGCTAACTAAAAAATCATGAGCTGTTCCACAGGTGACCTAAATATGTTTCCATACTCTCTGAAACAATGTAGATGGATTGCTCAATATGGCTCAATATAAGAAAGGTTGGCCCAGTAAAGAGGCTGAATCACAGACTGTTTCCACGGAATTCTTTTCTCCCTAACAGTGTTTCCCAGATTTGAAAAGCTCTAAAGGAAGCTTTTCTTGTATGTTGTCATTTATTTCAAGTGTCTTCTTTTATTTGTGTAGCATCTGTCATACCAAAGAACTTTGTAAAATTATATTTGGCATGTGGATGCTTTACTTTATCCAACAACATAGCATACCGTCCTAATAAGTAAAACAGAGTAACTATCCCAGGAGACCTTGGTATATTACAGCAGACCTAAGAGTAGAGTCAGGAAAAAAAAAACAAAAAACTAGCTTTCTCCTTAATAGCCTGACATGCACAGGACATTTAAGAACTAAATTACTATATTTAATTGTCATTGAAAGGACCTATTTGGATGGAGGTCACAGAAATGTGCAGATCTGATCTTGGACTTCCAGAGCTTTTAATCATTCATTCATCACAAAATGTCATATTATACACATTTAGAGCCATAAAAGCACTGCAAATGTGAAAACTTTGCACAGAGTTTCAAAATGTGTTGAGCAACAGAAACACTTTTGATACAGAAATTGAAAACAGTATTTAAAAAGTTTCTTTGGGTAAAATTGTTTCTGGTTGTACATTAGCCAATCCAACAAAGTTAATGTCTTGAGGGGAAGAGGGGACAAATCTTGAGGAAGGAATATTATTATTTTGTAAGGCATCTTGCTGAAGAGATGCCTCTACAGTATTTTTAGGCAAAAAGTAGTGGGCCACTTCAACAAGCCCAGAAAGTTTAAGGATTATGAGGACTTTGGTTTCTCAAATTCTGCCACCTACATTTCCTCAGTCCATGTCTTAGGGTCCTATTTTTTCCCTGTCAAGGCCTTGATTTGACTATGAGATCTAATAGGGCTTCCCTTCTCTGCAATTTGACTCTCATAAGCAGGTCCTGGGCCTAATCTGCTTTCTTCTTAGTACTCAAGGGTCTCTGAGTGCTGTCGGAGAGGGCTTTTTATTGGAATATTATGCTCTGAATTAATGGTTGGTTAGGTTAAGCGTGCAAACTCCACAACCCTTATAATTACCATTGGTACCCCATCTCTCTAGTGTTGGTGAGTTTGTGGATGACAATATCCTATCCCTTTTCCCCTCTGGTGAGTTTCCTTGTAATTTTTGAGGTAGCAGCATGTCCCTCCTTTAATGGTGTTCATCCCTGGGTAGCTTAAGAGTTCATTTTCCAGAAACATCTGCTATAACTTAATAATTAAAATAATTTTACCTCAAATTCAAGACAAAATACCAACAAATACAGAAGCCAGAATTCCTAGATGTATGTCAATTTGCTTGTATTTTACAAACTGAATGATACTAGTAATGACTAAAGAAATTCCATGTAGATTCCAGTGTGCAACAAAGGTGAAGAGCGTCTTAATCCAGTGCTACTGTTAAAAATATTATGTTTTTTTTTTGCCATCGTCATAGTGATTTTCACTTATTTTTTAAAATAATATTCGTCTCTATTTTAGTTTGTCATTTTTCCTTTCATTTTTATTATACGAGAACTGTCTTTGCCAATATTCTTTTGGATAAAGTAGGAAGGGACCAACAATAAAAAAAAATTAAAAAAAATAAAGTAGGAAGGGATATAATAAACTCATGTGTAGCATTACATCAAGTATGAAGGGGCCAGGAAAAATGATTTTTGCCTCATTGGGCCATCTCTTCCCTTATCTTCCTGTCCTTAAATAAGAGAATAGGCTTGCTATTTCAATTAGAAGACCAGAACTTCAGGCCAAGTTTTGTCATTTATTGCTTCTGTTTGCCTCAACAATTACTCTCTAAGTCTCCTGTTCCTTGTGTAGGGACAATCAGAAAATATACTTGCTGTCATCCCAACACTGCTCGCCCATTCTTCTCTAGTCACACCAGGCCATATTCTCTTCCTCTGACACAATTCAATATTGGTTTTCCTCTACCTGAAATACTCTTCCTGACACTCTTCAGTTGTCTGGCTTCTTATTCATCGGTCTCATCTCAAATGTGGTCTTCACTGTTCTACCTAAAGAAGATCACCTCATAAACTTCATTGTCCTGGCACACTGTTTTCTTCAGAGTGCAAATTACAATCTATAATTATTTTATGTGTGTATATAAAAGTTGTTTTCTGTACATTCAACTAGATTTAGGCCTTTTAACTGCAGTGCCAGTTCACGGTGTGACATAAAATAGACTCTTAATAAACGTTTGTTAAACATCTGAATTTACTTCATTGAGCTGGAACCTATTAACAATGTAGTATATGTGAAAAACATCTTCATTATATTTCTATCTGTACTACACCTTAGATGCAAATAATGTTTCATAATGATAATGATCAAAGTGTTCCTTAGGTCAATGATTTGATGTGATGTCAAAATAATAACAGCTTTATGAAATTTGAAATTTTTATTATATGTTTCAAATATTCATGCTCATTTTTCTTGCAATATTTTTCTTGAAACGTGTCAGATACATTATCTAGTAAACTAATTATATGCAAAATTTGAATTAGGGAAGATTGGCAAAATTTGTGAGCTCAACATGTATAAATGATTATATATAAGTAAAGAATAGCTTTCCGCTCTGTCCATCAGCCAAAGTTTTTAAGTTCCTTTGATGTTGGAATTGAGGAAGAAAATCGGAATAGAACTGAAATAAATGCACTTCTAGAATGCCAATCACAGAAGTGCCCATCAGCATTGAGCCCTATCCTAATTTAGCATTGGATATGCCTGAGAATGAGCAGCTACCACTGTCAGATGATTTGTATCCATAATCAGAAAAATGTGAGGCATAAAGTTCAGGTGCAGATTGACATTCTCCAGCCTGCTGAAGGAAGTAGATCATGACCTTTCAAAGCCACAAGTAATCACTTAAAG